CCAGCCTACACAATCTCACCTCATTCCACTGATGATAAAAACTGAAAACCATCATGATGGCAGAAACAATTTGTTGCCGTTTGCTGTTGTTGCTGTTATTTGTGACATAAATTCAGGTTCACTTTCAGAGAGTTACTAAAGAATTGAGAAGTCAAAAAGACTTATGCTTTTGCAATTACATAGTGCCAGTTGTATGTGTGTAACATACATATTTGCTCTGTGACTACAGAAGGCTAAAGATTTACCATGAGGAGTAAATACTCCCTTATAAGAGGGGCTGTTCCAGCTCTGTCAGTCAGAATCCAGCTGAACAAGATCAATAGGTGACACAATATGCTTCAAAAGAAAGAAGTCAGTGCCTGGGGGGAACTTGCATTTTTGTAGAAGGCTGATCAGTCATATACTTTCCATGGTTCATTAATAAAAATCACACACTCAGCAGCCTTTTCTTAAATTAGATTGTATATTCTGTATGAATACTTAAAATGACATATTTATTATATTCTTTCTACCAGGAAAAAAAGTAAAGGTCTTATAAAAGATTTATAATAAATTAACAATGTGACAAGCCAAATAACAGACAACCTTTAAAGATCAATATTTAAAGAAAATCATTTATCAATGGAAATGTTTACTTTTCTACAAAAGCTAACTTTTCTTTGACATATGGTTCCAGTCTTCAGGAAAAAGAGTTGTGTAACTATCTCGGGGGCTCTGGGCAGTCTGTGAGAATGCCTAGGGACCCTGGGCCCCACACTGAGTCCTACATTGGGAGGTTTGAAGACAGCTGTTGTTTCTTCAGTATACAGTGCTGAGACTGACGTTCCAATACAGGGCCATGACTGTTTGATCTCACACTACAGCAAAAGCCCTGTTGTGATTAGAAGAGCTTATAGTGATCAGACACTCCATCACAACAGAGGATTATTATTGAAAGGCCAGGATGCAGAGATGCATCTTCAGGGCTCGCTTGACATTCCTTGAGGTTTCAGTCAATGCTTTTGAGCTCAGCACTCCAGGGACTTACTGCTCGCAAATATCTAGAGAAAAATGAATGAACACAGGGGATCCTGTAAGCCCATCTCAGTGCTGTGAAATAAAGAGTGGAAACTGCAAGGTGGTGGCTTTTAGGCTTTTTTGGCCCCTCCTCTTAAGGACGCTATCACGCCCCCACCATTCCAGGCTCAGCTTTGGAAGATGGACGCCCGGAAGCCCGCCCACCAGCGAGTCCGGGAGGGGCTCAACGGCAAAGGCTCCGCAACAGTGTCCTAACCATCTGGGTCCGGGGCTCGGAGTGCCTGGCCCCGTTACCCCTTTTTATCTCCTCGACCCTTCAACCCTCTGGCTTTTAACTCCTGTCTTGTCTGTCAAGGATGGATTACCCGACTCTGGACTTTTGCTCATCTATGAATTTTCTTACAGACTCTCTTTGGACTTGTTTGCCTTGGCCATGCCCCCCCCCCCCCCCCAGCAGCAGCGCACTGTCGACACGCCCCACTGTTCTTCTTCCAGCTCCTATCCTAGTCTTTTTTTCCCGTGTTTGTTGAACTCTCTTCCATATTTTTTCGTCTGCATAGGGTCCTGAAAATCACTTGTTGACAATATCAATGTCAGAGATCAAAGCATGTTTGATTAACTCATGAGCAGTTGTAGTGTATTAGTTTGATATCTTACAGTCCAGCTGTTGTTGGCTCAGTTCAGGGCTATGTCATTTGCTAGCTGTGCCCAAGGACTGCCTAAAGGGTGCCATACTGTTGGCTGAACTGGACTAAAGATGGCACTTAAAAGTTTCCTTGACTAGGCTTGCAGTGGTTGACCAGGGACCAGAGAGTTGCAATGTCATCAGTGAGAGCAGCTGTATCACCAAAGGGCCGTGCGGTGGCTCTGTTGCTAAGGATCTGCGCCTGTGGCTGGAAGGTTCCCCGCGGCCGGCAGAGGAATCCTACTCTGTTGGGCCCCTGAGCAAGGCCCTTAACCCCAACTCCCAACTCCTCCAGGGTTGCTGTATGGGTGACTCTGCGCTCCTACCCCAAGCTTCTCCCCCTGTTGGGATATGCGAAAAGACAAATTCCTAATACAATAAATTATATATGGCCAATAACGTGATCTGATCTGAGCTGTTGCCCCATGAGAGTCATCATCAAATCCTGCAGTCCTCAGACTGCTTTGAACTGAACTGATGCAAGTCGGCTTTGTATAGATAGCATGCATTTAAGGCAACATGTGCGTGTTTAGTCCTCTCTGCAACTTGGGATGAAGACTGCAGCAATTAACCACAAAATTTGGAATGAAGTAAGAAAAGATATTATTGACCATTGCAAAATTATACAAATATTTAATAGAAAAGAAATGGAGTTAGGGCATACAGAGGGGACATGCTGCATGAGCCAAGTTGAGCCCTGATAAAGAGAATAACAATTAGGTCCTTTTATGCTTAGAGTAGAAAAAAAGATTCAAACATTTTAGAGACAAAGGGTTTTCATCCTTTAAGTAAAAGTATTCAATTAGACCAGTTAATTCAAATATATATATATATATCAGGCAATCAAAGCCAGAGTGTGTACTTGAGAGAGCTGAGGGATGAGCCACTGGACTCTCCTGCAGGCTCATAGGCTTTGCTGCCTGTGAGGAGGAAACAGGGCTGTCTCTTCCAGAGCTTCATTCCAAACTCGCCAAGGCACCTAAGTGCCCTTAACGCAGTAACCCCAAAACAGAAACGCACCAGCATTGTAAACACAAGTGGATGCTGTGTGCAACAGCTGTGCAACACAGCATCAACTCATTAGAAAAATTATTTTACAATTGTTTAATACTTTTAAGCTTGCTTTTGATTTGATTACAAGTGTCACTGAGGTTTGAAATACAGCAAATACAGTCAACAGCCTTTAAATGTGCATCTGTGCAGGTTGAGTCATCTGTTTGACCCAACAGAGAATGGACAGTAGTTCTTGACATTGAACCATTATCTGTGGCAGTGGTTTGTGATTGGGCACTGAGAGTTCTCAGTGCTGTTTAATGGCCCGTGTAAAACTATCAAAAGACATAACATCAGTTAATGAGCCAAAGTGTTTTATCACAGGGACTTCTTAGAGAATTAAGAATCTGCAGGTGTTTAGCAGGTGATGAGGAGTTCCAGTCCTGCAAACAACACTAGCTCTCACTCTTTCACTCTCACTCTTTCAGTACTCCAAGTACAACTGTGCCTCTCTGTGGTTGACTGATTGAAATGCAGGAGAAGTGTGCTACTATTTATCAGACATGACCTGAGCCCTGCAACAAACAGCAGTGCTTGTCTCTTTCAAATGAACATCCGCTCAGCTGAATTGGTACTTTTCCTCTGCTTTTGTACCGGTAAACTCCTCCTATGTTCCATGATCCATGTGGGACTGTTGGAGATATGCATTCATGGGAATCTGGCATCTGCGCCTCATCTTTAAAATAGATGTCTGTCAAGTCTAATATATTGAAGTAGTTCAAGTAGGTAGCTGCATCAGCTGCCAAGGAACAGGTAGCCAGTTTATTCCATGCTGAAAAGAAAAGGAAATTCAATGTTTTGGCTGTGGGGTCTTCTTTAGGTGTGAGAAAGACAGGGTAGATGGCAAAGATAAAATAGCACAGCAGGAGAACACAGCTGGAAAAGTGGAGGAGGACGGAGAGGGCAGAGGCAGAGAGGCCACTCAGGAAGTGCAAAGTGGAGGGGGGTGGAGAAAGGTGTGAAGTCAAAACCTGCATGCGAATGGAGAAGTAAGTCTGTCATTGAGAGAAGGGAGAAGGTGTGAAACTAGTTCCAGGATGAGTTTCGTTTCTGTTGTCTTTCTGCTGTGGGAGTTGAGAAACCCTTTTTTGAGAACAGAGACAGTATGATCTTGGTATGATCTTGGCTGTCAGATGTGAAATGAGAAACAAATGGCTTGGAGAAATCTTTCATCTTCACAGCCCTAACATGTTCTCTGAAGCAGTCTCCCAGTCTCCTTCCAGTTTCCCCAACGTAGATAGCTGGGCATTTTTTACAAGAGATACAGTAAATGAGGTTGCTGGAGATACAGGATGTTGTCTGGATGATCAGAAATTGACTAAGGGGCCCTGAATGAGCATGTTGTTAGATATGTATTTCCAGGTGATGCAGTGAGTTGTGTTGCCAAGGAAGGTGCGTGGTGGGGATGATTGCCGAGTGCGGTCGAGGGAGCTGTGAACAAGAAGTTTACGTAGATTGAGTAGTCGGTGATAAGAGATGATTGGGCAGTCGGAAAAAAGGGACCAATGGAGGGATTGTCCTGTAAAATGGAGTAGTTGTAAATGACTAATATATGCTGATTTAGGGTTTAAAATGAATTCATGCAGAAATGTGTTTCCGATGTCATTCAATGAGACAGTGGTAGGAAGCAAAGCACCTGATCATGTATAATTACACTGGAATTTATTGTGCTTGTCATAAAATGTTTCTAAAATGACTTAACATGTCTGGTTAGGATTTATTGATACTTAAGTGCCACCTAGCAGTCCAAAACTTGCCAGAGTTACCTCTCCTCCAATACTAGAGAATTGGTTTTAAATCAGTCCCTGACATTCCAGTTCTCTGTAAAATCAGTGTTGCTCTGCCTTGACCATAGATAAACTTGTTGAGAGATAATCCTTGTTTTTCTAATTAGAAGGAATAGTGAAAAGCACAGTGAATAGTGTTTAGACAGTATTCTATTCTTAACGTGTGTTCCAGTGAAGAGAAACAAATTTCTGTTTCCATCTGAAGGATACAACACAACAACCAGCAAAGTGTGCTTTTTTATTGTGTTTTTTTTATTCCAGTAAACAAACTTGTATCTCTGTACAAGGTTTTGTTTTATTAGGTTTTGCTTTATTTTTGTCCTTGTAGAAAAGACTTTACAGACTATAGTACGACATCTTAAAAATATCTTAACAAATTTTAAGACTTCACTTTGCAAAGATAAGGACTTTCAGTGGTGATGTGGCTTAAGTCCTGCGTGCACTTTTCCTTTTTACAGATCCCGCTGTTCACCAACGGCAGAAAGTAGTGACAGACATTTGCTTCAAAACTGACATAACAAGCCTGATGGACTTCAGCACTCCTGACTCCTCTCTGGATAAAGGTAAGTCCTTCTGTTTTTCACCTGCTGTCTATCGTGGGCTCTGCTGATGGTGTGAGGCTGCTGCTGTGATTCTGTTTGAGGTTACAAATAGTAACAGTCAGACCTGGATACATACTTCTGTCAGACAGAGCTCAGACAAGCATCAAAAGAGCAGTCCTCTGACAGGGGGATTTGAGCACTGTTGAAGCGCCCAGGAGAGTGAAATCACTGTAACATACTCATTATACACAATTAATCACTCCCTATTAAACACCAGCCATTCCTAACCAGCAAGTTCACATTGTGTGCCATAGTTCTGCATTTTGTTACGGAAAGACCATTGTAACTCTTTGAATTGATGCTATTTCTAATTGCTGGACAACAGAGTCTTTAAGAAACCCCTTTAAAGGGAAGGAATTTGTCTTTTTAAATCAAAAGTACTTCCACCTTAAGCCGCATTCCCAATGACAATTCTCCCCTCACTCCTACCTGCTCAGTAGTGGCATCATTAGGTGCTCCACAAACTCAGCATTGCTCCGACATGACAAGGGTCCAGATGCTGAATACACTTTTAACAGATCTAGAACCACAGCAGTTTTAGTTTTCTTCCAGATGTATCTAAGGCTTTAGTCTATCTCTGTCATACTTGCCCTGGCTCCTGCTCTGCGGGAGGAGCTAGGTCTGGTGTGGCAGCTGGCCTTTGCTCCACCCATCTGTCACTCACCATCGATTGCCATGGATACCAACCGACAGGTGACTTGGATCACCTGGAGCCAATTACCATCTTGCTGCTCCAGGTGATTCAGGGATATCTGAGGGCTGCTTGGACTCTATTCTGGGCTCTGATATAGAGTTTGGACTCTGAGTTTCCACCTGCAGCTTTGAACCCCTGCTGCCTGAATGCAGCACTGCACTGGGGGCTTTGACAGCATGCTACCCACAGTTTCCCTAAGCCTCATTTGCCTTTTGCCCAGAAACTGGGGTCTTCTGTAAAACTCAAATTCTGGGCTAATTAGTTTCGCAGAAAAAGCCTAATAGCCTCGGCACTGTCAGTTGTTAACATCGGCATCCTTTCATTTAGGCTGAAAGTAGCAAATATATTTATACTGTACAAATAAAATAACAAAAAGGACTTAGAAATGAATTTAAAAAGTTAAAAAGACAATTTTTGTTCAGGCAGGATGTAGATAGTTGCAGTTACTGATTCTGCATCATTGCATGAGAATCCAGGGTCAGTTCCAACTTGAACCACCTATATGTGTGGACTTTGCATGGTCTCTTTGCATTTGTGCACTTTTTCTCAAAACCTCTGGTTTCCTGCCACCTCTGAGACCCAAGTATATTTGATTTAGTACACCATTTTCTAGAGAGGGTTTTTTTTTTCAGTATAACCAGAATTGCTTGTGTGGCCAAAGTAGAACTAAATTAATACTCCAAATGAGAACTACAGTAAATACACATTTTGAGAAGAAGTGAAATTTGTTAGAATATAATGAAAATACAATAACATTTTACATATAGGATCCAGAGTAAACACAGAAGCAGTATTTAGGTACAAAGAGTTAAGCAGGTGGATGCTGATATTTGTGCAGTATGAGAGAAGTTATCTTACAGTTTCTTGATTGTATGCCATATTAGAGAGTTTTTACCAGGCAGTTGTCAGTGAATGTGCTGTCTGTACAGATATGGTGGGTTGTATTGAAACATACTTCACCAAAATGAGCAGAGACTTGTGTGGTGTTTCTCATATACAGTCCCTATAGAAAGTCTACACCTTCTTGAACTTTTTTCACATTTTCTTGTATCAGAGCCTTAGAGTTTCAGGCATTTACATGAGTATTATTTTCTCATCTACACACCATGCTCTAGTCTTTGAAGGGAAAACTTGTTTTTATTCGGGGAAAATATATGATATACAGTATAATTGATTAAGTCACGACTCCCCTGAGTTAATATTTGGTGGAAGCACCTTTGGCAAAAATAATAACCGAGAGTCTGTTTGCATTGGTCTCTCTGTGTAAAACTAGATTTCTCAATATTTATCTTTCTTTACAAACCTTCTGAAGCTCTGTCAGGTTCCTTCACAGTGCTGATGACCTAATTTATGCCGGTTCTTGGTGATACCATACACCTTCCACTTCTTAATATCCATCTTGACAATACTCCAAAGGATGTTCAAGGCCTTGGATTTTTTAAACTCATCCCCCGATCTTTTCACAACTTTGTCCCAGAGGTTTTTTGAAAGCTCCTTGGTGCTCATGGTTGAGTCTATGCTTTGAAATGCACTACCTAGCAGAAGGAACATAAAGGAGCTATTGAATCTATCCTGAAATCATGTGAATCACAACAATTTAAAGGGGAACTGCAGCACTATTTTGATATTTCAATGTTAGAAAGAATCAGCATTGATGAGTACATGTTAAACCACAATGAAAGTAAAATGTGCACAGGAACTTATAAAACCTCCAATTTACATCACAAAGTAGATCAAATTTCCAGGTCTGGGCAGTGCCATATTCTGCGATTCAGAATGAGACAACATAACTTTCTGAGATGTTTTGCAACTCTATGATATCGTAAACAAGCAAGCTTGTGGATTCATCTCTTTTAATCCAATAGAAATATTGCTCTCGATTTTGAGGCGGTTTTGCCAACTACTGCTATTTTAACTACTAACTACTAATAACAAATAACAACTACTTATTTGTTACATCTGCATGCAGATCACATTGGAGATTTTCCACAGGGACATTTCTGCTGTACAACCTGTACTTATGTGCTTGTTACATTACATTACATTTGTCATTATGGTTTACTTATGAGCAGGAAGGGCTGCATCACATCACAATTCCTGGGAACCTGAGGGCATGTTTGCGACAAAATGGCAGCTTACAGTACTTTCACAAAGTTCATATTTTGTAAAATTTCTCTATACCATTAATTAATTTATTTTGTTACCAAGATTAAATAACTGGACTGAGAAATTGGGACTGCAGTTCCCCTTTAACACTCATGGAAGCCAATTAATGGTGTTATTTTGAAGTTGAATGGTTACACCAAAGTTAATTAAAGATTTGCTTCTACAAGGTGTGAACACTTATCTAAGGTTTTGATATTTAATTAATTTCCTGAAATTTTCTAGAACGTTCATTTCACTTGTATGGTAGTATTTGTAGATGCATGAAACAAAAACTATTTCAATCCATTTTAATTATATGCTATAAGGCAACAATAGTTGAATATTTTTAAAGAGGGTTCAGGCTTTCTATAGGCTCCGGAAGAGAGCACTGTCAGGACAGGTATGGGACTCTATTCATGATTTTGTTTTAACCTCTAAAAGCAAACCACCTGAGCAGAAGTCAGCTAGTCACTCTGCTGGAACTTTTAATCTGTTGTGTTATGTTCTCAACATTATTTTACAAAGCGTTGGGTTGTGAAAGAAAAATCTATTGCAGGATACTTATTTTCAGTAGAAAAAAAAATATTTTTATATAATGCAAGCTGTTTGCCTTGGTAGTTTCAATTCGGAATGTTAGGTTATTTGTCATTTTGTGAATCCATAGGCAGAATGCAGCTCTAGTCATTTCACATCACATGGAGCCTGAACCATGTAGTATAGCAATGGCTTAAGGACCTCACTTATGCAGAAAGCCATTTAAAACTTTGCTAATGTCACCATGCCTCTGAACTGAAGGAAAGGCTTTTGAACCAAATGTGCTGCTAGTTTTCAGGGTGATTGTATTTTTTTCTTAATGCTATTCACTATAGCTCTGTTTAATAGTGTTGGCATTGACAATACAAATGCTCCAAGTATTTATGAAAATTAAACACGTTAATGTTTTTGGACTGAGAAAAAGAAAAAAACCAGTTTGTTGCTGAATATTAGCAAATACAGTACATGGCTTTAACAGGATGATTAAAGTTTCAATGGGAGCTGAATTTATCACTGGTAGAGAGAAAAGGCTGAACAGTTGAGGTCTACTGTGTATCCTGCTAAAATGCAAAGCACTGGATTCTGACAAAAGACAGCACATGTCTATTTCAGACAATATGGGTGATTTGATAATGTATGTATTGGTATTTCTGTTTTTGTGTGTAATAGCTGTTTCTCTGGTAAGATTCAGTGTTAGGGACATGGCTGTGTAACTTAGCGACCAACCTGCTCTTTGCTTTGTGTCCAGATAAACTGTACAAACACAAGAAAGGTGAGGAGGGAATTCAGACAATCTTTCTCATTTGTATTTTCTTAACATACTGATAAGTGAACTGCATGCACTCTTTATGAAACAATACCAAAGAATCAACTTGAAAGATGTGACTTGGTAGTTTGTTTCATGCACCCACAGAAATTTCTGAAAAGATCTGGTCAAGTTTTAAATTCTCTAAATTTCCTTGTTTGGAAATGACAGTACTCTTAGTGTAAAGCAGTTCTGGTAGGATGATGCAAACCAGATGGCAAGACCAAGGAAGTGTGCAGTACAAGTCTGGGATGGATTTAAGGGTGCTGCACAAATTTTACTGCTGGAAATTTCTATAAGGACACACTGCCTGATGTGATCTGGAGTGACCCAGCCTACTGTCACCCATGTGTGTTTTGAGAGGACTCTGAGTGCCAAAAGCTTTGTAGTTTCCTCTCATCATCTATGCAACACAGTGTATCACAATAAACAGTGTAGAGCTTCATTTTAACAACCCCACATTGCCCACCTACCCTGTGAGAAAGAACAAATAAAACATGATGTCTAACAGGGATGGTGTGCTTTAAACAACTCTGAGGTGCTTGTTATATTGTTTCCTGCCTCACTAAACCTTTGTATCAAAATAAATATTGATATGGGAGTCTTCAGTCTTCAGGCTGGTGGTGAGAAGTGAGCCTATAGTAGGTTAATAATAATAATACTTACACTTATATAGCACATTTCTGGACACTCCACTCCAAGCACTTTGCAGGTAATGCTGACTCCCCTCCACCACCACCAATGTGCAGCCCCCCTGGATGATGTGGCAGTCCACTCACCACA